ATATGCAGCATCAAGATATGTGGAAATAACCACGTAGGCCAAAATGAGCTGCATGTGATGACACAGTCTGCTGTTATAGTGTAGGTATTTTGAACATGATCATCCCACCAGAGGCCTTCCCTTCAGACCGTCTGGTCTCCTCACATTCCTATTTTTACCTGTTCCTACCTTTCTCCCCTCATGTAGTAGAATGAACCTGCTACTACAAACCCAACCCTACTCTGCTTCTGATAATCAGGTACCTTCCTGCAGCTCTCTTCCTCGTTCCACATCCCAAATCCCAGCCGTATGCATGTATATGTGTGTGCGTGTGTGTGTGTGTGTGTGTGTGTTTTAATTCCTGAATGATCAGCTTGACTTTTTCCTCCCCAGAAAAATGCAACAGTCTCTAACATATTCTTCCACAAAGTGCACTTCTGAACTATATAAGTGGCATAAGACTGACACCCCGGAAGCTACTGTAATTCCTCAGGCTCATCCCAAAAGTAGTCAGCCAACTAGAAACAAAGAAATGAGCTACTCAATTAGGGCAAGATACCTGTGTCCAGGCATGAGAAGGACCCAGAAAGGGGTTGGCTATAGAAATAATTGCAGCAGTGCTACCAATATTCTCTGTCTTATCTCATTAACATAGAAATGGATGATACAACAGCAGTTGCTCCAGATTTGCAGTTGGACAAATGTAAATCCAAATACCAGATTTACCATCCAATGACCTTGGGCAAATCACCTAATCTCACTTAACTCCCCTGTGCTTGTTCATCATATATAAAATGGGAAGGAAAATAAGCATTGCTATGAGAATTAAATTAGATGATACTTAAGAAAACACATAATCCAACTGGGCACAGTGGCACACACCTGTTATCTCACAGACTAGGAGGCTGAGAGGCAGAAGGAAGTTCAAAGCCAGACTCAGTAACTTAGCAAGACCCTGTCTCAAACTAAAATTAAAATGGCTGGGGGTGTAGCTCAGTGGTAAAGTACCCCTAGGTACAATCCCTAATACCACAAAAACAAAAAAGAAAATTAAAGAAAAAAAACACATAGTCCTCCATGGATGTTACCTCTGAATTCAAAAGATTCCTCATATTCCATTCATAGCGGAGCAATAGCCTCAAATACCAACTGGGCTTAGATTCTCTTCCTGGCGATGAAATCCAGAATGAGTAGCAGATTTAAAAAGTTGCCACCAATTCTTCCCCTCCTTGCATCTATTTCCCTAATAAAAAAAGTAGTTCTTTCCATCCTTTAAATCTAGGCTGGTCCTGTGACTTGTTTTGACCAATGAATTGCAACAAAAGCAACAATGACCAAGTTCCGAGTTTAGGGGCTTTATGTGGTTCTGCTCTTGCTCTTAGAACTAACTCTAAGACTGCCATGTGAAAAATTTAAATTGGGGCTCAGATTGTTAGAAGATGGCCTTATTTGTTAGAGAGAGGCCTTAGTTGTCTCATACATCCCCCTGAGGCCATCCTATACCAGCTAGCCCCAAGAAACCTACAGGTTGAAACTCTGACACAAGAATGAGTAGAGTCAAGATTAGCCAAGTCCAGCCTACCCCAGAACAACCACGCAGAGAATCTAAGCCCAGATTGTCAACCTGTAGAATCATAAACTGAATTAAGTTCAGTTGCTTTAACCATTAAGTTTTGGGGTGCCTTATTGTACAGCAAAAGCTAATTTCTATAATCTGGAAAAATCAAAATCCACAAAATCATTTAAATTATAGTTCAACATTGTTTCCCCCCTGCAAAAGAAAAACTCCCCTAGTCTTTGCAGAGTCATGAATATTAATTACAGAATTGCATCTGGAATCTCCTGGGCATTTTCCCACCGGTCAAGAACTGTGGCCAGAGGTAGAGAAGGATGTTCTTTACAGGAGACATCATCCAGGCAATCAGGTAGCTTCTAGAGGAAGCCTCCTTATCTACCTGTCAGTCAGAAATGCTGCTCTAATTGTCAAAAATGATTTCCCCAAAACTTCTAATTCCCTGGTACCAGCTGCCCAAGCATTCATCACAGTAACATGGCCTCATTAACAGAATGAAGCCAAGCACAGTGGCACACACCTGTACTCCCAGGAACTAGGAAGGCTGAACCAGGAGGATAGCAAGTTCCAGGCCAGCCTCTTCGATTTAGTGAGACCCTATCTCAGGTTAAAAAATAAAAAAGCTAGGATGTAGCTCAACAACAGAGTGCCCCTGGATTCAACCAAACCCAGTACCAGGGGTGGGAGGGGATGAAAACAGAGAAAGAAATGAATCAATCAAACAAGGCCTTACCACACATCCTCTTGTGATGGCCTTAAAGCCAAAATACTCAGTCTGTCATTCAAGAACCTTTTTCAAATTGGGCTTATCTCCCTCTAGTATCATCTCTAGCTTCATCTTCCAAGAATACTGTTTTTGCCACACCAAATATTTCTGCCATCTCCTGAACAGAACAAATCTTTGTGTGGCTGTGAAAATGTTGTATCCTCTCCCTGAAATACTTTCTTGTTCCTCTTCTATACAGATAAACTTCTATCCATCCTTTCAAACCTGTTCAAATATCCCACTTTCAAGAAGCAGAATTTATTTCCCCCAGAATGAGTTAATTAGTTCCTCTTCTGGGTTCTCATAGCACCTTGGACATCCCATAACAAGTATCACACTGCATTTTAACTACCTGTTCATATTCTACATACAAAACTAATCCACAATTACCATTAAAGTATAGTTTACCTAATCCTTTGCCCACTATAGCTAGGCTTCTGACATATTCATCTGGGCAAGGTGAGAATGGACAGCCAGCCAATTAGTAACCTGGCTAACATCCTTGTACGATACTCTGAGGACAGGCTTGGGGCTGAGGGGAGGCCTGGATTTAAGAGACCATCCTTCTGAAGGGGTATGCTGCAGAGAGCAGAGATGGAGAATCATTGTACCAAACATGTACTTATAATATTCGTTGTTAATTCAGTTATTGATACATATTTAAATCATACCATACATAAAATATTATTTGTAATAGTTCTTATTTCTATTTGAATTATCAATCAACAGGCTTGAGCTTTTATTTCACACACAGGAACATCAATCCTGAGAGCCAGATCCCAAGGCCATCTGATTGTCCCAGAGAAATGGGGCTTCTGCTTCCAAAATGAGGAAGTTTTATAGGCACCAGAGATCCTCGTGGGACCTAGGGACATGGGAGAATAGTTGTGAAAGCCAAGGTTGTTCAGGCCATCAGTCATTAAAATGAAAACTTCTGGTCCCAAGGAGGTGTGGGGCAAATTTTCATCTGTTTTCCATAACTTTCTGTGCCAGGCACTTTACATATGTTATCTCATTTAACCATCAGACCATCTTTGGGAAATAGGCATTGTCTCCATTTTACAACTGGAGGTTCCAAGAAGTTATCACCTTTCAAATATCATACAAGGCCAGGCGTGGTGGCACATGCCTATAATCCCAGCAGCTTGGGAGGTTGAGGCAGGAGGATTACGAGTTCAAAGCAGCCTCAGCAAAAGCAAGGCATTAAGCAACTCAGTGATACCCTGTCTCTAAATAAAATACAAAAAAGGACTTGGGATGTGGCTCAGTGATGGAGTACCTCTGAGTTCAATCCACGGTACTCCAAAAAAAAAAAAAGATCCTACAGGTAAGGGCAGAACTGATTGGAACCCAAGTCCATCTGTCTCTAAAAACCATGCCCTTTCCACTATGTTTTCTCCTTTACAACTAAATTGTACATAAATAAGATAATTTAATTAACTAGGCAAATGATTTAAATAAAATATTCCATAATAATATTCCAATTATAGGAACTGTGGCTGTGGCTCAGTGGGGTTGACTAGGGATATACTCAATGTTAGAGTTCAGAGCACTTGCCTAATATGTAAAAGGCCTCAGATCCGATCCCCAGTGCCACTCAGGTGTGCGTGCACACACACACACACATACACACACACACACACACCACAAATCCCATGCCAATTAAATAAGAATTTCAGGAGGTGGTCTAGTCATCAGCATTTTTTTAATGCTCCAGGTGATTATAATTTATTACCAAGTTTGGGGACCAGCACCTTAGAATTCTCTCTTTTCCTGGTAGCTCTGTCCCCCATATCATGAAGATGAAAAAGGCAGAAAGTTCAGAAAAACTATGAATGTAGCTGTGATGGATTTCCCCTTTGGCAGAGAAAAGGGCAGATTCCCAATAGACAGAAGGATGTCCTGATACCCAGATACCCTGGGGATTGGTACTAAATTGGAAGATACATTTTGTCTCCCTTGATTTAAACCTTAACTAAAAGGCCCAGACTTAGGGTGTGGCCTGAGGTTTGGCAATATGACAGGGGCCTAGAGAATGTGCTGAGCCTAGGATTTAGTGAAGCAGCCAGGAAGGAAGGCCTACTCTGGTTATTCTACCCTTCACACATGAATGGCAGGGCCAAAGCAACCTGGGCACCAGAGGATTAGAGTGAGAGAAAAATCCCAAAGAGGCCTCAGAAAGCTAGTATTATGTGAGCTTATGCTACCAGGTAAGCACAAACATGCCAGATGCAGAAGCCTGAGTCCAATGTTAAGGGTTGAGAAGCCTTTCATTCCTCAGATCTTGTCCATGGATCCAGGCAACTTTGTAGCTGGGGCCTACAATCTGACATTGACAGAGTAGTGGGATATTCTAGAGCAGCCTGACGCTCCTCTCCTAGTACCCACATGTAGAATCAAAGCTGGACAGACCTTCACTGTTCATCTAGCCTATCCCCTACCACATGAAGGGTGACATAGATGCCCGAGACAGGCAGGGACTTAGCTAAAACTCACATAGCCCTTGTAAAACAGGGGGTACCCTGAACCACTGAACAGTCCTTGATTCCCTCTATAGCCACAGGTAAGACACTCTACCTCACTGTGCCTCTACCAAGCACTAGGCAAGGTGAAAAAACACTCTGGTTGCATGCTCTCACAGGTTGGTCATTCTCACTAACCACTCATGCCCTCCCACTCCAGACAGCCCCAGAAGGCATCAGGTAAGGGCCCTACCACAACGCCTGAAGTCGACCTCTAACCCATAATTCAGAGAGTATCACCTTCAAGAAACATGCTGCACCCACTCTTCAGATGCTCAGTCTCTGCTAGAAAGACAGACTTCAATTCAAGACACTCCTAAGATGATTGCCAAATTTGCCCCTGGCTGCCTGCAGGCTTACCTGTCGCCCTGCTGCCCTGTGATTAGAGCAACACCTTGGAGAGAAGTCAGAGGAGAGAAGTCAGAGGAGCGACAGGTAAGACCACCACAGGTCCCAGAGGATGGTGCTTGCCAGGAGCCCAGGAGCACCCCCCCTGCATGCTGCAGCCAGCAAGGCTACAAGGCCTAAGCCTCAGGGAGCTGGGTTGTGGGTGGGGTAGGGGGAGCAGCCTGGAGCTTCTCCTCCTTGCTTTGATGCACAGCCAGGGCTGCATTTCTCTAGCTCACCTGAGATGCTCCTGCAAGAGAGAGCTTGGTTGACTCCTCCTGTTCCTGTTTATCTCGAAGCCTCTGCAGCAATTTTCCCAAACTGAACAGCAAGAGGGAGACCTCAAAGAGGCGACTCTCTTCCTAGCTGCATCTCCTTCCTAATCCTCTGGGTGCCTTGGAATAGAAGCTCAGAAGGAAGAAAACGAGATTTTCAACTTTCAGGAACTAGCTCTGTCGCCCTCTGCACAGCTCGGAAGGCCATCACTCTCAGCCTTTTAGGACTCGATCCAAAAATCCTTCAGCCCTCCATGTTCCCCAAAATGACAGTGCTCATGTGTGGCTGGAACCTGCCCCGATCCGGCAGCTCATTTAAATAGAGCTCATCACAACAACAGTGTTGGTGGAGAAGTGAGTAGCTGCAGGGCCCTGGGGACCCCCTGTTTATACGTAGGAAGAATGATGCAATCTGGGTATCAAAATAGCAATCCAGAATGGAATAACAGGCTCACGCAGCAGCGGTGCCTGCACAGCCAGAGCTCAAGTTGACACACTCTGACAGCCCCATACTGCTGCAGCACGCAGATGCCAGGCACACACTCTCACTGCATCATTTTAAAAAACAGCAGGAGCCCGAGAGATCCCTCCATGCCCCCAGCACTGAAGGAGGGTGTCGGGGGGGGCCTACGTCAGACATTAAAATCTCTCTCCTACACACTCACCTGGCTCCTGCCACTTCACCTGAAGTCCTTATCCTGTGACGTCACAGTCAGTTGCTATAGTGACCAAAGGTCCGTCACAAGCAGAGGATTAGGACTTCAGTTGGAGAAGACACATATTTTTGATGCACAATGGTCCTGGAAGGTGTGTTCCTTGGCAGCTAAATCTACTCCCCAGAGAGATAAAGTCACACATAAGCAGGAAGGAAAAACAGGGTCGAGTTGGAGGAAAGACATTAGGATGTAGCAAGACTTCAAGTACTGGATAATTACAAAATCTGAATGAGGGGGAGCGGCAGGGAATGAACTTGGAGAGACTGGCAGGAGAGTAAGCTCTGAAAGGCTCTGAATGCTAAGCTAAGGAGCCTGTCCTTTATACTAAAAGAAAATGCAAAAAGGTTCTGAACCATGACTGAGCTGGGCTTTACAACTGATTATCATGGTGAACTGGAAGCAGGGAGGTCAGAAAGGAGGCTTGTCCAGTTAAATATTAATGAAATCCTCAATGAGGACAGAAGTGGAACAAAGGGACAGAAGAGCTGGGTTTGATGGCACATGCCTATAATCCCAGCAGCCTGGGAGGCTAAGACAGGAGGATTGTGAGTTCAAAGCCAGTCTCAGCAATTTAAGGAGGCCCTAAGCAACTCAGTGAGACCCTGTCTTAAAATAAAATATAAAAAGAACTCAGGATGTGGCTCAGTGGTTAAGTGCCCCTAGGTTCAATCCCTGGTATCGGGGTGGGAGTGGGAGAGAGACAAAGAGAACTGGTAGGACATGACCAAAATTGGATGTTGCGGGTAGCAGTGGTATGTTGAGTCAAGTGGATAGGCTGTCACAAACAGAGACAGGTGGAAGAGGAAGAGGGCAATTGCCAAATCCCATCTTATCCTTCCATATTTTTCTTTCTTTCTTTTTTTTTTTTTTGCCCTGGGATAGACTTTTAAAAAAAAAATAGGTGTAGATGGACACAACACAATGCCTTTATTTTTATGTGGTGCTGAAGATCGAACCCAGGTCCCGCCCGTGCTAGGCAAGCGCTCTACCACTGAGTCACAATTCCAGCCCCTCTTTCCATATTTTTCTATCCATGCCTGGTTATTCCTATTTGATGACACCCATAGGTTCAAACTCACCCAATTTCCCCAGTGCCTAAAACAGGTCAGAAAACTACAGCCTGCCTGTTTTTGCAAATAAATAACATGGTTATGGAACCATTTATTGGAACATAATCATGCCTATTTCATTTCTGTTGTTAATGGCTCCTTTTGTGCTACAATGGCAGAATTAAGTAGTTGTGACAGACTTATGTCTAGCAAAGACATAAACATTTACTATTTACTCTTTTATACAAAAAGCTTACCCACATCTACCCTAAAGCAACAGCTTCTTAAGTTGTTCTAACCTCACCCTTTGGGATTCAATTATGATTTGGGGGTTCCTGTTTGTTCCCAAGGCCACTCTTATTCCTGTGAGCTCTAGTTCTGATAACTGATTCACATTTGAGCTGGACCTTTAAATTTGGGTAGGATGTTACTAAAAAGGAAAGGGAATTCAGAAAGAGGGAACATTATAAACAGATTATAAATGCCAAAATGTAGGTCCTCTTTAGGAGAATATTAGTAAGGCTAAGACATGTTGAGAAATGGTAGGAAATGAGGCTGTAAAATTAATTTGAGTCCCTGTTGGGAAGAGAATTGAAGGCACTAAGTTTCTATTCTGAACTGAAAGAAACTGGTAGGCTTTAGGTAGCTAAAATGTAGGCCCAGAGTCAGAGGGAATGATCAGGGTTGAAGCTACAGAATTTGGGAACATAACTCAGAATGGCAATAGGTACAATGAGATCAGAAAAAAAAAATATCACTATAGGAAGGAATACAGAATAAGCTGAGGTCAACCAGGAATATCCAGGAGACTGAGCAGCAACAGATCTGAATGAAGTCATAAGCTGAACATGAAAGTCAGGTGACTAGATGAGGCTGGAGATGAACATATGGTTCACAGCCTTCAGAACCCATAGTCCTAGGAACCATTTAGCTGAGACAGGCTTTTCATGCCAAGAAAATATCCACAGTGGAATGTTGAAGATACAGGTGAGAGTGGGGGCTCATCTCATTTGATAGTACCTCTGCCTCTTTTGACCCTAAATCTCAAAGAGTCAGTCCAAAATTTGATATACTGATAAACTCCATGCAAAGCCAATGAATGACCCCATTTCCAGCTGGGCCTGGGAAGAGAGACAACGGGGGAAGAATCTAGAGCAGCATTACTCTAGGTCTGCAGTTTTTTCTTTAATATTTATTTTTTAGTTTTTTTCGGCGGACACAACATCTTTGTTTGTATGTGGTGCTGAGGACCGAACCGGGGCCGCACACATGCCAGGCGAGCGTGCCACCGCTCGAGCCACATCTCCAGCCCCATCTAGGTCTGCAGTTTTTACAGCCTACAAGCCCAAGCAAACCCTGGACTGCCAGGCAAGGGAGTTAGACTTTTTTCCTGGCTCTGCACATGAACAATTATGTGAACTTCAGCAGGATCTTGGCCTTTTCTGGGTTCCAATGCCCCATCTGTAAAGTGAGCATTGGAGACGAACTGAAAGGGCTTTTCCTATTCTCAGGCCTCTACAGCACTCACTCAAGCCCCCTTGAATGAGAGAGTTCCAGTGACAAAAAGTTCCTCCAGGACCCCCTCCATCAATCATAGGAACCTTGTTTTTGTGACACTGAGGATTTAACTAAGGGTCACTTTACCACTGAGCTACATACCCAGTCTTTAAAAAAAAATTAATTTTTACACTCAAATAAGAGTCTTACTTATTTGTTCAGGCTAGCCTTTAACTTACGATTCTCCTGTCATAGCCTCCCAAGTTGCTAGAGTTAAGGCAAGTGCCACCATGCCTAGCAATCAGAGAACCTTGCACTCCCTTCCCTCAGCAAATCTGTTCCAAGCATAGGTTCCTAGTCAGTACTAGCACGGCAAGCACATCCCCCCAAACACAGCCTGCCTCCTTCCCAGTACCAGGGGAATTGTTCTCACAGTAACAGGTACTGTTCAGAGGTGCCAGTGCTACTCCCAAGACCCTAGAGAGCCAATTAATGTGAGGAAGCTGTTCATGAACTAAAAAGCCACCCCAATGATAGGGCTCTGCAGCTCCAGCTTCTGCACCTGCCACACACCCATTCAGAACAGCTCAGCAGCCTACCCTCTTCCTAGGAGACTTGGGTCCCTGCCTGCACCAGACTCCAGAAGGTTGGACATGCTGTTCAGCACCTTGAATAAACAAACAGCAGTCACCTGCCTCCCAGGCTCCTGTGGTTGAGATCTTAGCCCCTGCCTCCCATTCTCACCAAAGACCATTAGAACTCCTCCAGCTGAGCTGCTCATTAAGATAAGAGTCATTTCCCTCTCTGACTTTGAGGTTGTAGCATCTTGCATCATTTCCCTTTCTTTGGATCTTCCCCAAACCTCCAAGGCCTGCCCACCAAGGGACAGTGATTGCTCTCCCTTTTAGTATTAGCAGTGTATGAGAAATATGCTGTCACCCTTAACTAGCTTCAGGAAGCATGGAACTGTGGTAGTTATTTGATATTTTTAGAGTTAATCAAATCCAAGCCTGAAAAGCAGAGAGGGTCTGGAATTGTCCAGTCAATTCTTGCTAGAGTTCAGATGAGCTCTAGAACTGTGACATTTGGACCATTATTCTTCCCACATCTTGATTAGATCCCCCACTTTGAAAATGAGAAAAGCAAAATTTTAAATAGGTAGATTCTGAAATTCAGATTTGAGAATCAAGGTCTCTCAGCCACACAATTTGTTATTTAGTTGTTTTTGTGTGTGTGTATGTGCGGGGGGGAAGGGGGTTGAACCCAGAGACCCACTACCACTGAGCTATCCCGGTCCTTTTTTTTTTTTTTTTTTTGTATTTTGAGACAGGGTCTGATTAAGTTGCCTAGGGCCTCACTAAATTGCTGAGGCTGGCCTTGAACTTGCAATCCTCCTGCCTCAGCTTCCTGAGTCACTAGGATTACGGGCATGCCCACAATAACCAGCATTATTTAGTTGCTTTAAAGAGGAAAAAAATGATGATCCTTTTACTCACACAGGGAAGAAAATACCCAATTAATTGCCACCTACCCCCAAACAACAAATACAACCATAGGAACCCTGAGAATCTTGAAGATGAGCCAGCACAAGGTAAATATTTCAGGGATGCTGACTCCCTTCAGAGCTTGCTACAATTATTTAAAGTACCACTTTTGGTATTCAGTTGTTAACTGTCTGGGTAGAATTTGACCTGGGGACCATTTTCAATTAGGCTTAAAAGGAAATACAGATGCTTCTTAACGGCAATTGGGGTGCCATGTGTTTAGTCCTTCAGAAAATATTTAATGAGCAACTGATATCCACCAGTCCTGAGGCATGGAGAACCTCTCAGAGTTATTACTCCTTTGATAAAACTTTAAATAATCTGTTTATCTATCTTTATTAGAATATGAGCTCCTGTCTTTTTATTTCTGTACTTTAAATGCCATAGAGCCTGACACAGAGCAGACAATAAATACCTGTGCAGGAGACAACACAACAAACCAACAAATACCACAATGCACAAACTACTAATAATTCCAAGAAATAAAGAGGAATCTTATTCCACTGTTCACCTATAAAGGCAAATATGGAAGGTAACAATGGCCTAACTAGACCATAAGACATAATGAAAACAGTCACATACACCATAAACTGCTTCTCTGGTTCCAAATCAAGCATGTTTATACCTAACACAATTTTTGTGTATTTGTTTGTGTCCATATCACAGTTTTACAAGTTCTAAATAACAACATTTCTGACATTTCTTAGACTCTTACTATATACTAGATTATTACAGAATGCTTCATTTATGTGTATCTTCTCATTTAATCTTATAACATTCCTTTGAACTAGTTAACTATTATTATCAACCTTATTTTACAGGAAAATAACAATAATAATGATAATAAAAACCTAGAGAACTAACAAATGCAGTAAGTTGCCCAAGTTATACAACTATTAAGTGGCAGGCAGATTAGTACTGACACTCAAATGCTTGACACCAAAGTGTATACTTTTAAATCCATTTTTTTTTCACTCCTAAGGATTGAAATTAGAACTTTTTTGTTTTGTATTTTGAGACAGGGTCTTACTTAGGGCCTCATAAGTTGCTGAGGTTGGCCTCAAACTTGCAATCCTCCTGCCTCAGTCTTGCAAGTCACTAGGATAACAGGAGTGTGCTATCATGCCTGGCGGAGCTTATGCTTTTATTCTCCACTGCACATAGAATAACTTGGTGACAAACACTATGATTCTAATAATCACCATTCATATGAATTTAATCTTCTAACATTAGAGTTGAAGTCTCAAGACACACACTATTAGTCCACATTAAAAATATTAATTGAATTGCTTATCTAGCATGCACAAGGCCCTGAGTTCAACCCTTAGCACCATAAAACAAACAAACAAAATCTTAAGTGAGATCAAAGTTCTAAGAGCTAAAACTATAATAAAACTCTCAGAAGAAAACTTCATGACTTTGCATTTGGCAATTATTTCTTAGATATGAGACCAAAAGCACAGGCAACAAAACAAAAAATAGGTAAATCAAGACTTCATCAAAATTAAGCACTTGGGGCTGAGAATGTAGCTCATGGTAATACTTGCCTAGCATGTGTGAGGCCCTGGATTTGATCATAGCACCACAAAATAAAAAGTAAATAAATAAAAACTTTAGTGCATCAACAGAATAAAAAGCAACTCACTGAATGGGAGAAAATACTTGTAAGTCATATATCTAATAAGGGATTGATACTCAGAATACATAATAAACTTATACAATTCAACAACAACAAAGACCCCATTAAAAAATGGGCAAGGCCAGGTGCAGTGGTGCCCACCTATAATCCCGGTGCTTCGGGAGACTGAGGCAGGAAAATCACAAGTTTGGGGCCAGCTTCAGCAACTTAGCAAGACCCTGTCTCAAAATAACAAATAAAAAGGGCTGGGGATATAGCTCAGTGGCTGAGTGCCCTGGGTTCAATCCCCAGTACCATAAATAAATAAATGCAAAACTGAAACTTATACCCATTAAACAATCACTCTCCATTTCCACCACCCCCTAGCAACCACCATTCTACTTTCTATTTCTATGAATTTGACTAGTCTAAGACCTAATGTAACTAAAATCACATAGTACTTGTTCTTTTGTGACCGGTTTATTTCATTTAGTATAATGCCTTCAAGGTTCATCTGTGTAACAGAATGCATCAGAAATTCCTTCCTTATTAAGACTAATTACTATTTCATTATATGGATATACAGCATTTTGTTTATCCATTCTGTTAGTAGATACCTGGGGTGCTTCCACCTTGTGGATATTGCAAATGCTGCTATGAGCATGGGTATACAAATATCTCTTCAAGTTCCTATTCTAAATCCTTTTGGTTGTATAACCAGAAGTGGAATTGCTGGATCATATGGTAATTCTATTTTTAATTTTCTGAGGAACTACCATATTATTTTTCACAGTAGCTATACTAATTTCTATTCCAACAGTACAGGATTCCAATTTCTCTGTATCTTTGCCAAAACTTGGTATTATCTAGGTCTTTTTTGGTTTGTTTGTTTAATAGACATCCTAATGAGCATGTGGTGGTACCTTACTGAGTTTTTTATTTGGATTTCCCTAATGGCTTTTTTAGGTGTTGATGAACCTTTATTTTATTCATTTATTTATATGCAGTGCTGAGAATCAAACCTAGTGCCTCACACATGCTAGGCAAGTGCTCTACCACTGAGCCACAACCCCAGACCAGATTTCCCTAATGATTAGTGATATTGAACATTTTTTTTCATTTACTTATTGGCCATTTATATATCTTCTTTGAAAAATTGTCTATTTAAGGTCTTTGCCTATTTTTTAATCAGATTTTTTTTATTGTTAAGCTTTAGGAGTTCTTTATATATATGCTGGATATTCACCCAACAGTGTAAGCACTGCTAAAGCATATTTAAGATTCACTATATTTATAAATTTACTGTATTTCCAAGAGTTAAGTAAGTAGGAATGCCTGTTTTCCAGATAATTGAAGTACTTAAAAAGAAAGAAAACACATTTAATTTACAAAGTAAATATAACAAAGTTTATAAATAAGTTTAAATATTAATTATAGTTCCTTTAAAAGTAATTGTTAAAATTTATTCCACTTTTAAGTAGAATGTGGTTTGTAACTTAAAATTAAAAACTTGACAAAGAATGAAGTTTAAATTATGTTTAAAAATCATATATTAGGGGCTGGGGTTGTGGCTCAGTGGTAGAGCGCTTGCCTAGCATGCCTGAGGCACTGGGTTCGATCCTCAGCACCACATACAAATAAATAAAATAAAGGTCCATCAACAACTAAAAAATATTTTTTAAAAAATCATATATTAATTTACTTTTGTTTTTTGGTATTGGGAATTGAACCTAGGGGCACTTTACAACTGAGCTACATCCATAGTCCTTTTTTCAATTTTTTCTTTGAGACAGGTCTTGCTAAATTGCTGAGACTGGCCTCAAACTTGCAATCCTCCCACCTCAGCCTCTTGAGTTTCTGGGATTATAGGCATGCTGCATGTTAAATTTAAAAATCAAAATAGACCACATTTTTTCTGTGTTCCAAACTTTCAGCAGGCTCAAAGAGGTTAGGTTGCTTGCCCACAGGTTCAGAGGGCTCAAGATTCAGCTTTAAAGCTCACTCTTAATAGCAATGCCTCAAAGAAAGCTAGCTTTGTGCTACAAATCACTTTGGAAATACTGCAGAGAATTAAACAAATGGAAACTATCAAATATGATGTTTCTAAATGTTTCCATTTATTTGACTTTCTCACTGTACAATTTCATTCAGCAGACACTGTTCCTGTACTAAGTGCCCTGTGCTAAAATACTAAAATGAAAGGACCTGCTTCCAGTCTCCAAGGACTTCAGAGTTCTCAATTCAGATTGTTTCCTAGGAAACCACACATGCAGCAGTAAGACACAGGCTTCACCAGGCTGGGCAGCAACTTAAATATTGAATGGTTCACTAGTCAGTGTGATTCTGTTCAAAATCTGTTCCTGACTAACACTAGACGCCCAGCTGTTCTTCTTCTATGGTGGCAGTTTAGTGAGCCAGGATACATCCTCTCCATCTAGGGAGTCAGTCAAACCTTGGCTATCTATGGGAAGTAACTGCTCCTGGGTTAAAAGCTTCACAAGCTTCTTAGCCTACCACCAATTTAAGGAAACCCCACAGATGAAAAGTTCCCAGTTTACAAAACAGATATATTAGGCATCAGAGGATTTGCTTTGTCTCACAGATTCCCCAAAGAGTTGCTTTCAGCAGTGAGTGTCCCTTGGGCATTTAAATTCTGATTTTGTCTAAAGAAACCTGTTCTCTAGAAGGAAGTGAACTTGTGGTGCTTTTGTACTTACCATCTGGGACAGTCCCATAAGCCCTGGCAATATGCCCTAACTCCTGCATCAAGCCCTGGAAGCAGTCCTTACAGAACAAATGTTGGCATGGTAGAAACCAAGAGCCTTCATCTTGCAGGTCCTGTCGGCACAATGAGCACATCTGTGCTACAGCTTCCATGTGTCCATCCCGGGAGCAGAGTTTCTGGTCAGCTAGTGGCTGCCTCTTGAAGTTCATGAACGTGTCCATGCCCTTTCTGGTGCCTCTGCCTGGGACTGAGGCTTTTCCATTGACATCCTCAGGTGTGAAGCAGCGTGTACAGCGAGCAAGCTCCACTCCCTGTAAGTAAAGCAAAAAGCAGACTGATTTACCACATTTGGGAAGGAGATGTTCCTCAACAGGTCAGAAAAGCCTCAGACCTCAGAAGTCCAGGTCATGCACCTTCCCAGAGATGAAGGCTTGTGCCTCAGCCTCAACCCTGTACTTGGGTTTAGAGAATACAGCATCTTTGCCATGGGGAAAAAAAAAAAAAAAAAAGCCTAGAGGTGTTTACAAGAATAGATCTTTCTGACAAGGTATGTTTGCCTTCAAGTGTCCCAGATCTATTTCTTATTGGTGGACAAGTTTGATCCAATTTTTAACTTTAGAAAAGGGTATGAGATTTATTAAGTGCCAAGTTTACACCAGGTGCTTTCTAGACTATTTCAATCCTCATAACTACCTTTGGAAATAGGGATTATTATTTTTCACAAATTAAATAAAACCATTAGGTAAAGGTTGAGGAAACTGGGGCCTAGAGAGGTGAGGTAATACACAGAGACAAATTTCAAATCCAGTCTGATTCCAAATGTCACACTGTGACCTACTGAAACATTCTCAAGCTGAGATCCACATAGCAGTTCATCAGTGCTCTCCAACAACTTTTTAAAATTAGATAATAGAGCTTTTTTAAAGTGTAAACATTCTGGATCATCTACGTATCCACCATGATACAATTTTCAGAGCAGTGTTGAGTTTATGATCTAGTTCACACTAGGCAATATTGATGATGAGAAAAGAAAGAGGCATGCAATATGCCACATGAAGTCTAAACGACATCATCACACACAATGATGAATGTTGTACAGTATTTGGAATAGAGAAAGTGGGGAAATTAAGCCATCATTGTAATATATATTTGCTGAACTTATCCACAACAGTAAGTGCCACATTTAAGTTGTAGTGGATTGTAGTGGCAATTTTAGCAAAATATCATCTGCATATGAAATTAATAGTTAATTTGATTGCTTTGGTTTTTAAATTTTTAGTAACTATAAATTGTATTTGGTATTATAATTGCATAAGAACTGAAACCAAAAGGAAGTTGTGTCTACTTTTACATTTGTATTTATTTAAGACACAAAACATAACCACTTAATTCAATCTGGTATTCTGTAATTATGCAAGTTAAAAAAAAAAAAAATTCATTTCAGCCCAAAGTTTTTGGGAACCAAACCCATTAAAGAGGAAGGGTGCTGGGACTGTGAGGGGCTAGGATGTCTGGAGTCAGAAAGATGCTACTACATAAAGTAATAGATTATCACCTACAATTCCTTCTGAGGCTCCAGGAACAGTTACTTCCCATAGAGTAGCCACAGAAGCAGCCCGAGTAGAAGTAAGGGTGGTCTTTACTAGGAGGTTTAAGCATGGCTAAAGTTTATTTCATTAGAGCATTGGTTCTCAAATATTTTGGTCTTGGAACCCCTCTTACAGTTTTTAATTACTGAAGACCCCAAAGAGGTTTTGTTTATGTGGGTTATATCTATTTCTGTTTACCACATCAGAAATTAAAACTGAGAAATTTATAAGATATTAATTCATTTGAAACAATTAATCTGGGCTGGGAGTATAGTTCATACGCAGCATGTATGTACAAGGCCCTGGATTCAATCCCTACCATCAAAAAAAATTAAGAGTAAATTAGTTATTTTTATAAGTAAATAAGTAAAACTTTTAACAATATCCAGGTGCAATGGCACATGCCTATAATTCTAGTGACTGGGGAGGCTGACACAAGAAAATCACAAGTTCAAAGTCAGTCTCAGTAACTTAACCAATACCCAGTCTCAGAACAGAACAATAAAAATGGTTGTGGATGTAGCTCAGTGGTAGAGTACCCCTGGGTTCAATCCCCAGTACTCCCAACCCACCAAAAAAAATAATAAAAAATCTTTAAAAATTTAATGAATAACATACTTTTTAGGAAAAATAACTATTTGTTTTTTTTTTCTTTCGTGGTGCTGGGGATTGAATCAAGGGCCTTTTGAATGCAAGGTAAGCACTCTACCAACTGAGTTATATCTCCAGTCCTATTTCTTAAAATAAATTTAATGAGAAGAGTGACATTGTTTTTTTCATTTTTGCAAAACTTTTAAAGTCTGATGTAATACAAGACAGCTGAAATCCTATATGGATTGCTTTTACAATCTGTTATACATTGTTTTGTTTACGGAACAGAAAGAAAACCCAGTCTTACACAGAAAACATTTAGAAAAATGTATAGAAGTATTTTAATAGTCTTTTCAGATTTTTTTATATTCTTTGGTACTACACAAAAAATTAGCAAGTAATAGTTTCTTACATATTAATTATAACATGGAAGCTGAAACTACCTCAATGAACTTTACTTACTGTTAAATTAAAATTCACTGAACTATCTTATACTTTTACCCAAGCATAATTTTATATCTTATACTGCTCTTTTACCCAAGCATAATTTTATAACATCAAGAAGTAGTCACTTGGAAAAATTGTTTCACTAATATTCTAAATACTAACACATTTTTTAACACAATAGCAAAAAAAATCACATTCTTTAATATCACTTCTTTTTTTTATCACTTCTAATTTCATTGGAAAATTCTTTCAGAATTAATGAGTCCAGCTCATAGAGGCAGCTAAGACTTACCAGTATTCTAATTTTTGTTGGAAGCTTAAATTTTATCACTGTCAAAATAAACTGTTTATTTTTGAGAAAATATCTGCCAAATTCCCAAGCCTGAATAACCACAGTTTGTTAGTTGTTCTTTCATGTAAAATTTCTGTTCCATGGTTGAGGAGGGGGAAGTTAGTTTAGTAAAAGTACAATACAAGTCAAAGCAAAAGTACAGTACTTTGAGATATAACAGAACTACTTTTTTCATACTTTTAATTTCTTCAAATAGAATATTAAAAAGACATGTAATCAAGAATTGAGATTTAATAAAATTTTTACTTCTACATCATGGACATTCTTGAATTAAACTAGTTTATTTTTATTTTTTTATTTTTAAGGGTTGGTGTTTCAAACTCCCAGGCCCCAGTGATTCTCTTGAAGAGTTGGTTCTATACGTACATGCCACCACACTTAGCTTAAACTAGCTTTTCTTCTTTTTTTTCTTCTTAACTGCAAATGCCTAGTGAAGAATACACAGATTGGGCTGGGGATGTGGCTCAAGTGGTAGCGCGCTCTACTGGCATGCGTGCAGCCAGGGTTCGATCCTCAGCACCACATACAAACAAAGATGTTGTGTCCACCGAAAACTGAAAAACTAAATAAATATTTTAAAAAATTCTCTCTCTCTCTCTCTCTCTCTCTCTCTCTCTCTCTTTAAAAAAAAAAAAAAAAGAATACACAGATAAAATGACTTATACTAGTTTAATGCCCAAAGCACCAGAAGTTTTTTACATAATTGTTTTGGCACCATCAATGCAATATTAACCTAGTGGAAAGATCAAAAAACATCTTATTATGAAAAAATTTTGACCTCAGGGACCCCCTCAGGTTCTATAGACCACATTTTGAGAACTGCTGCATTAGATCTCACATGATAATCCTGGGAATTCATAAAAGTGGCATGGCTTTCCACCATCAGTGAGCACTATATGGGGTAAGAATATAAAGAAAAAGGGATTTCATTTTTGTTTTAGAATAGCAATTGAAGTAACTCTATGAGGGTAAAGAATTAAAGGCACATCCAAGACATGAGTCTCTGATCTGAGGACAAAGGGAGAGGTCAAATAATCCCTTTCTCACCTACACCCTTCTTCTGGCTGCTTTTTACCATAATTTAGCTCTTTTTCCCTATCATGGGCAAGTGGATGGGATATAGTTTGGAAGACTATACTTAATACCAGGGAGCAACTCAAATGCCCACAGGAGCCAGGCAATCTATTTGAGTGAAGTCCCCACCTAAAAAAAATTGGGTCCAGTATTGCCAAATCTTTGTTTTTCAAAATACCAGAAATCTAAATTTTTATTTGAATTTTAAAATTTTGGCAAATGTGTTTGTCAGGTTTTCATCACTATATCAAATACCTAAGATAACCAACTTATAAAGAGAAAAGGTTTATTTTGGCTCACAGTTTTAAAGATTCCAGTTCATGATCAGATAGACCCACTGGTTTTAGGTCAGTGGTAGGGGTGGTGCCAGATGGCACTGGTGGAGAACAAGCTTACCTTGTGGCCAAGGAAAGAAAGAGAAAGAGGAGGAAGAAGAGAAGAGGGGATTAGAGTCTCACAATCCCCTCCAAAGGCACACCCACAAAGGCCCAAAGACCTCCCAGGAGGCCCCACATCTTAAAGGCTCTAACCCCTCCTAATAGTACCATGATGGGAAAAGCCAATACCACATTAATCTTTGCAGGGTCATTTAAGATCCAAACTATAGCAGCAACTAACTAAATTTTAAAACATACCATAAGTCAAACAACATACCAGCAGCATCCACCTTATAATCTCTGCTTTAAGTCATGGAGTAACCTGGACTAAATGAAACATCAACTGCTAGTATGGAAAGAATGGAATCCTTAGTATGGAACTGATAGAATGGAAGGAATGGGTTCCGTTCCTTCCAGGGGTAATATTAACATCTGGATATGAGGAAAGGGAAATATCTACTGAATTTCTTTAACTATGAATGACGGAACAAATCTTCCCACATCACATTGCAGGTAAGAATTTCAAAGAATATTTGCTTGGGTGGTACAGAACAAATTATCTTCAAAATTTAGTATTAATTTTAGGGAGAAAATGTGAAGGAGAAACACTAGGTAATGAAAGAGCATCCACTCTTTGCTAGACTGTGTTGTACATGAGACACTATTTGTTTGCTTGTTTACTGTTTTTTTTAGACACAGTCCTAGGGTCCTTTGTCTTTCTTGTTCATCATTGTATCTGCCCCCTATTGTCTGGCACCTATGCTAGAATGTAATACGCACTCAATAAACATGTGTAAAATGAATGAGTGAAAGACTCATTATTTTTTCATTGTTAAGACAAAAAAACTGGGCTGGGGCTGTGGCTCAGTGGTAGAGCACTTGCCTAGCATGTGTGAGGCACTGGGTTCGATTCTCAGCACTGCATATAAATAAATGAATAAAATAAAGGTTCATCGGCATCTAAAAAATTTTTTTAAAAAGATAAGAAAACTGAGATTCAAGGAGACTATGCAAGTTTGTTCAATATAATTAAAAAATAGAATTAGGAAATGAACCCAAACTTGTTTGTTCTTTCCACTTATTTAATCCCCAGAAATTAAATTAACTATTTAAGCTAGTCTTTTTTGTATTATTGAATAAACTGCTCTCAAAGATCATAGAATTTCTTTCTTCATGTTTTGGTCACAAGTTTAAAGGCAAGGTTTTCCATCCCAGCTTCCAACAAAGCTTTTAGGAAAATAATTGTTATCTAGTACAATGAGTTAAAAAAAAAAATCTATCCACCACAAGAAATACTATTAGAAACCCTTAAGCCCCAAATTAGATTATTTTTACTTTGTGCTGAAGAAAACTTCACCTGTGATCTTATGAATTTCACCCTAAATGCCATACATGAGAAACTACTGAAAAAAAAGCAAACAAAAGTTCCTAAGCCTAGAAAGGTTGAAACGGGATTGGTAACTGTACAATACTGCTGGTACATAAACTGATACAATCCATTTGGACAAAAATAGCAACATAAAATGGACAATAAAAAAAGGTCCATACCCTATAATCCAGCAATCTCACTCCTGGGAATTTATTCTAGAGAAGTTATTTGACATAAAAAACTATATATACACAAGTGTTCATTGCATCCTTATCTCTAACAGCAAAGAATACAATAAGAACAAAAAAATGGAAACAAGAAAATGACTTTGTAAATTACAGTATATGCTGAAGGTAAATTACTCTTCAGCTGTAAAAAAATAATTCTGAAGAATGGGTAGTATTACAGAAAAATATTATGGAATTAAATGAAAAGCAGAATACAAAAGGATTAATACACATGACCATCACCTTTGCAGATTGCTATGTCTCCATGTAAGCAAGAGCTGAAAGGTGATATTCAGAAATGAAAACAGCATTGTGCAATGGTATGACTTGAAGTATTTATACTATTATTTCTTTTTTCAGGAAAATTTTTAATGTTGTACTGTTTTTTTCTATTACATATATATTTTTAAATTCTTTCTGAAATAAATTTAGTATTCTGGGGTTTTCTCTAATTCTGATTTAGAAAATAATAGAAAGTCTGGCTTTCCCCATCTTGAATTAATAGTACTCTACTTTTAAAAAGAAAACAACATAAGAACATAAATGTTCAAGTCTAAAGATGGAGATCAACAAGATGGGGTGGGAAGCATCCAAGCAAGCTATTGTTGCAGTCTGAAGGACTGATGATGAAATCAGGAACCCTGAGAAAAAGAAAAGGGAGAAGGATCATCAGGCCCTCCTTAGGATGTAATGTGTTCCCAAGGTCACTTAAGAGAGTTCAGAGATAGAAAAAGGTCAGCACCACATTTACCTGCCTTACCAGGCTACAGCCTGGCATTATCTCTCTTCCACTCATTTCACAGGTATTTTCTGAGGCCCTGACTTGCTGAGGGAGCTCAAATACCTGATATGTCACAAGGCCATGCTCTCCTTCAGAGAAGATGTCACAGAAGATACCTCTCAGGGCTCATGTCCAAGGTCATGTCCCATGTGTCTGGTAAAGAGGATGGGTCATCTAATGCCTAATATCCCAGCTGCTATTCACTTTTGCAGATATACAACTGAACTTTGTTCTCTCAGAGCTATCAGACTTAGGGAAACTGACCCATACTGAACAAAACACCACATGAGCCATGTTTTAAGTCACACTGTTCAGCCAGGTGGCTTATAGAACAGGATGTAGCTCTTCTATAGCCAAGGAACTTAGCAAACTACTTAGAAACAGTGTCCTAGCATCCAGAACCCTACCTCTACCCTTTGCACAGTCTTGATCCTTGCTCTAGGCCCCACTTATAATATACCTGAAGGTTAATGTCCATTCCCACTGCTCTGCCCAGCTTACCTTCATTGACAGATCATCTTCCCAAAGGTAGTTTCTGGGTAGCTCAATTCATATCCTTGAGTAGGATATGAATTATAGGCCAGTTTCCATGTCAAATAGAAGATGATCTCCTTTTAGATCTTACCCTCCTACTCCCAAGACTCCTCTTTCTGCTGGTCACAGGCAGTATATGATTAAGTTTGAAGGAGTGATGAATACCATAATGCTGTGAGGTCAGAGAGGGAGTGGTCATTGAGGTAAAAGCAGACCCAGGCTCTGTATCTTACCAGCTGTATACTCTCCGGCAAGTAACTCAGTTCTGTGCATTTTTTTCATGCATAAAATGAGACTGGTAGAGCTGAATTCTCAGGCAGATGCATTTGTGAATTGCAAGGTGCTTTGAAAATGTTGGGTCTATTATTGTGGACTAGAGTGGGGAAGAAGTAGAATGTAGGATGGCCCTTAAAGATTGAGGAAGATTCAGGCTATGCAGTCAGGAAGAGAAAGGACATCCCAGGCATGAGTAAAGGCAAAATGGAGACAGAAGTAAAGTATGCCTGCAATAGATAGCTTGTTGAGGTGAGAATCAGAGGTAAGGTTGGAAAGGTAGGTAGGCTGTATTCTATTGCTATTAGGGAATCACTGAAATCTTTGATCATATAAAAGAATGACAGTTATGTTTTGTGAGTACTAAGCTGATAGAAGATGTGAAGGATAGAGAGTTTGGCTGAGGGATAGAATGCAGGTAATGTGATCACAGAGTGGTTTGAAGACTCCAAATAAGAAGATGAGGAGCTGGGCTGTGGTTGTGGCTCAGCAATAAAGCACTTGCCTACCATGTGCGAGGCACTGGGTTCGATCCTCAGCACCACATAAAAATAAATAAAATAAAGGTATTGTGTCCAACTACAACTAAAAAAATAAAAAAGAAGAAGGATGAGGAGCTGAATGAAGACAGTGACTCTAGGGCTGAAGGAGGAAGTACATTTGAGAGATATAGAATTAAAAGGATGGTAATAGTGTATAAGAGCAAATAAGGGCTTGGGAACAATTTTTCAGGCCTGATCTCGATGGACAATGATGTCTCTCACAAGATAAAGAAATAAAGAAGCAGAGGTGGGCTTGTGGCTCAGCAGTAGAGTGCTCACCTAGCACTTGCGAAGTGCTGGGTTCGATCCTC